GAGAGAGAGAGAGAGAGAGAGAGAGAGAGAGAGAGATAGACCCACACATGTCTACTTTTAGCCCTTTAAAATGTAAACCTCGTAAATGTAAGACACATTATCATGTTGTTCTTCCTCAAATACATGTACATCAAACTTTATGTTGTTCTTAGTCAAATACATCACATTTCATATTGTTCTTTCTCAAATACATAAAACTTTATATTGTTCTTTCTGAAATGTATCAAACTGTATATTGTTCTTCCTCAAATACATCAAAGTTTATGTTGTTCTTCATCAAATACATCAAACTTCATGTTGTTCTTGGTCAAACACATCAAACTTTATGTTATTCTTTCTGAAATGTATCAAATTCTATGTTGTTCTTCCCGAGATACGTCACACATTTTATGTTTGTTCTTCCTGAGATATGTCACATATCATGATGTTCTTCACTCTAATACATCATCACTTGATATGCTGTTCTTCCTCAAATACATCAAATACTATTATAATGTTCTCTCTCAGATATGTCCCTTATTAGAAGGTTTTTCTTCATCAAATACATGACACATTATTTTGTTCTTCCTCAAATACATGTAGGCCTACATCAAATATTATTATAATGTTCTTTCTCGGGTATTTCCCTTATTAGAAGGATGTTTTTCTTCCTCATTAAATACGTCACAAATTATATCGTTTTTCTTCAAATACGTCACGTATTATATCGTTCTTTCTCAGACCCCCCCCCTCACGGCGGTGCCACTGATTGAATTGTCTCTCTTTAGGCCATTCCCAAAGGGGGGACATTTCTCGTTCATGCACAGTAGAATTGTAAATGGGCTGATTCACCAATGTCACGCTCATAACTGTGCCTGATCTGCAACAAGGAACTGCTACTTTTTCTTTCCTAATCCGTACTATTGTCATTTTTCCTCTACTTCTTTTGTATGTTTGTCACACTCTTGTGACCCACTATTTCCGGGGTGCCTTGATAGTCGAAGTAGACTTTGTGCTGTTGAAGCTAGAGAGGTGAGCAGAGTAAGTCTGATTCCCTGTAAGGACTTCTCTGTTGACATCCACCCCTTGGCACTTATATGACCTTATCCAGTAGCGAGCGCCGTAAAATCTCTACTAAAACAAAGACTTTCTCAGATACGTCACATGATACATGTATGTTATGTTCTTCTTCCTGAGATACGTCAAGTATTATGTCGTCTTCTTTTTCCTCAGATACATCATTTCCACATCTAACGGTCACGCAGAGCGGGAGTTCCCCTATATCAGGTGAATGACCTGGCTCCTTTCCCCCTTCCTTTTATAGAGGCCTACCTACCTACTTCTAATTAGTTTTGTGAACTATTTAAGGATATAGATGCCGCATATTGTGCCTTTTAAACCTTCTTCTAGTTAGTTATTCTAGTTACTTATTTCAGGATGTAGCGGACATTTTATGACTTTTAGTTTTGTTCAAACGCATATTGTTACTAGCCTATACCTTTTCGCCCTTCCTTTTATAGAGGCCTACCTACCTACTTCTAATTAGTTTTGTTGACTATTTAAGGATATAGAGGCCTTTTAATGTGTCTTTTTAACCTTTTTCTTTTAGTTTTGTTCAAACATATGTATGTGTGTGCCTAAAGAGAGGTACCAAAGTCGGATTTTAACCTTTATGACTTAAGGGTTGTACGTAATAGAACATTCAATGCTGAACACAGTGGGTTTATTTATTTTTTTAATATATTTTTTTTAGATATCTCAAGTAGTTTTTGAGATATTGCACATTTTGCAATGTAGGGTATAAAGATATAATTTTGAGAAATTAGAGTTAGTTCAGAACACATACAAACTTTTTAAAAATGATGATTCAGTTCTTTCTAATGTATTTATTCATGGAAATTTCATTTCCAATTCGGCATTCAGCTGACACCAATTCATCAATACCATGATTAGAATTCAACGGTCAAACCTAGCAGGGAAGAGAACACATGCTCCTAAAATAGATTTTAACACCTTTTAATAAGCAGTTTTCATTATCTTTTTTTAAAACGTACCCTATCCTCAAAATAATTCCCCCAGAAATATTTAGAAGTCAAATCAATGAAAACTCTTTTAACACATTGTTGAAAACTGGCGGAACTATCATTTTAAAAAAATACAAACACATTTTGGTCGAAAGTGATTATTTGTCATTGTCAGCCTGTAGCTCAAAATGGTCTGTGGCGACTTTTGGTACCTTTATTTAGGCACACACACACATATTATATTATTATGCCTTTATCTTCTAATTAGTTTTGTTTTCTATTTACAAACGTAGCAGCCACATAATGATATTTTGTCTTTTTAACCTTTTTGTCTAGTTAGTTTTGTTACCTATTTAAAGATGCAGCGGGCGTATAATGTCTTTTAATCCTTTTTCTAAGCTTACTTAGTTTTGTTCGAACAAATAATGCTGTGCCTTTTTGCTCGACCTTTTATAGAGGTCTGTCTTCTTCTATCTTGTAAGTAGTTTTGTTATCTATTTATAGACGTAGCGGCCACTTAATAATATTTTGTCTTTTTAACCTTTTTGTCTAGTTAGTTTTGTTACCTATTTAAAGATGCAGCGGACGTATAATGTCTTTTCAGCCTTTTTCTAAGCTTACTTAGATTTGTTCGAACAAATAATGCTGTGCCTTTTTGCTCGACCTTTTTCAACTACATACGGTCATAGCGTCTATAAGAGCGCCCTACACACAAGTTAATTGTTTTCACAAGAGTTCACACAACGGCTTGGGTGTATTTTGCGGTTACGTTAAACAATGTATGGTTTTGAAAAAAGGATTAAAAACAGTTTTTTCTTATATATATGTATATTTTTTTACATACTGCTATAATCTCCATTGTTTTTCTCTCTTTCCAGTGACACAGGCACCCACCCCCCTGAGAGCTGTATCTTTGGTCTCCTTCTGGCGATTTACTCCTTTGCAAGTAAGTCGAGTTACAGTTGACCGACGCAACGTCCAGCTACCGGAAAAACTAAAACAAGAATAATGTTTTAAACAAAGTTTTACAGTACTTGCAACACAAAAGGGTCATCATATAAGCGCTGAAGATTTAAGGTGATACTTCACGCCACTTTAGAATTACGAAGTTCTAGCTGACATTTTTGGCCGTGTTGAGTTGCTAAGAGCGTGAGGCTAGAAACTAAAATCGTACAGTTATTCGGATTTGTTGTCAAGATAGTCAAACAATTGCGTACAAAAAAGCTTAACATGTGAAACTCAACATTTTGAACGTCAAATTTCTCAAAACTAGGTACTGAGCAAATATAACTTTGAAATTTTTGGGTAGGGACTGGTAAGTAACATACAAAGAAAAGAAGAAGGAGAGATCAGGACGGCATACGTTTGACAGAAAAGAGGGAGTAAACCCACTCACTCCTCCCCC